TAGCAAAATTTCAGCTTTCCGGAACCAAAATTTTCCGAAATAGAATGGAGGTTCGATTTTCAGAAAAGAATAAATCCAGTTTCCGAGAATATGACCACCTCCCTTGTTAACCTGTATGCCCAGAAAAACGAGATGCTAACATCAGAAATTTTCGGCTATAAATGCTAATATCAGAAATTTTCGGATGCTAATATCAGAGAAACGAAATGCTACTATCAGAAATTTCAAATTTTCAGGTATTTATTGCGAGAAAACGAAATGCTAATATCAGAAATTTTCAGATAAAACGAAATGCTAATATCAGAAATTTTCAGATAAAACGAAATGCTATTATCAGAAATTTTCAAATAAAACGAAATGCTATTATCAGAAATTTTCAGATATTTATTGCGAGAGAATTTTTTTTTTGCAGAGATTTGACGAAGTCCTACTTGATTTACTAATAAACAATTGATCAATCACTCAATCAATCATTCTACAATCAGTAGATCAAGCAAGCTGGCTACTTGACTGGTCGGATCCTATGATTGAGAGGTCCGCTCCGATACCAAACTGTCGCATACCGTAACGGTACAGACCAGAACAAGAACCGACCTCTCTCACAAAGTACAAGATAACACAGCGGAAGGCTTAAATACCAATGATCCGAACAATCAATGTTGCCATGCAGACCAAACATACATCATCATCATTCCATGGTGTGAAGGGGCCTGGCGCTCACACAGGAAGAATGTGCCAGTCCCCAACTATACACAGACAAAGAAGAGGGGGGTTAGACGAAGAAGAGGGGAAGATGGGAATGTCGTCAACACCAAGTCTTCGGTACAGTCCCAAATAATCCCTCATCAAATGTCTGAATCCCAATGTCGAGTCTGGATCCAAATGTCGTCAAATCCCAAAGTCACCAATCTCTCTCTCTCTCGTAGTCTGCAGATACTGAGAAGTCAGGTAGCGAGAGGGTGAGGAAGAGATGGTGGACTTAGAAGAGGAAGAAGAAGAACTCTCTCTCTCTCTCTCTCTCTCTCTCTC